GCCAATCAAAGAATGTAGTAGGCCTCTATGTCACCAGAGGTGAAATATAAAAGAAATCTTATATATATTGTATCAGTTGTTTTAAATAATACTAACTTGGATGAAAACAAATCTCTGAAGTCTAAAAATATTGTTAGTATCTGAGTAAAATCAAGGGAAATAATTCATCAAGGAAATGTTTAATTGATGTACATATTGTTGTATTAGCTTAGAAATAACCAGTTAGTTGCTATATTGATTTCAGAAAATTTCAAAAATCTTTTTTCCTTTAGATGCCGTATGGTAGTGTAATGATATCTGGCTGTTTTTTTTTTGTTTTTTTTTTAAATAAGCAGAGGGGGCATTGCCCCCCTGGAATCCACCCCTAGATCCACACCTGCTTGTACAACATTAAATAATAGTTATTAATTCCAGAGAAAAAAATGAGAGGTCCGAATCCCCTAGACCCTCTCTGCATTGTTCACATGTACTTAACATAATTATAGTTATTAATTTCTGAAATAAATGGGCAAAGAAAGATTTGGTCCCCTGGACCCCTCCCCTACATCCATGCCTGCAAATACAGCATTAATGTATAGTTATTAATTAAAACAAAATATATGGGGAGGGTCTCAGCCCCCTGGAACCCTCCCTTAGATCTGCACATGTTTGTACTGCATTGAAGAATACTGTTACATAATTAGAAATATAACACAATATAAAAATTTTACACTTCAACACTTAAATAGCCAATGAGTTAGCAGTGGATTTTGCCAACAAGTTGCCTTAAAATCAGTGACAGTGGCAGATATCCTTGGCAGTTTTACAAACACAAAGACAGCATGAGCAAGTTTAGTGTTAATGGCAACCAAATCAAAATCCTCAAACTATGATGCACCCCCACCCCCTAATGTAGCTTTGTGCTTAACCACTAACAAACATTACGGAAATATTCTGATTACTTGGATAGCTTGGAGTAATCAAAAACAGTTAATAGTTGGAAACTATAATACAAATTAGTTGATTCATTTTGTGACATTAATCATAATTTCAGTTAATTGACCACTTTATGAAACACTAATCAAGGTATTTACTGCTTAAAGGTAATCAATTATATCACACAGATGAATTTAAAAAATAAAGCCAACATTTAATAGTACATACAAGCATTAAAAAATCAGACTGTCAATTGAAACGATGATGCAGTAAGACATCAAAATGTGAGTGTATGAAACTGTTCCCATTCTCACAGTATTTTATCTTTATACAGTAAATTATTAAGTAAAATAAATTTTTATTGTATTTTGCCACTGGAGACAATCTCATTTTTAAATATTTACTGTGTACTATTAAACGTTGGCTTTATTTCTTTAATACATCTGTTGTCCTAATCTTACATTAATTAAATCACCTAGCTGTAGCCAAAACAAAATCTGAACAGCTTGAGACTAAGAAGTGAATATCTATAGTAGCCATAACAAAGGGAGAAACAATCAGTTCTTCACAAATGGCTACAGTTTCTGAATAAAAATATCTATAGTAGCCATAACACAGGGAAAAACAATCAGTTCTTCCCAAATGGTTAGTTTCAAAACAAAAATATCTATAGTAGCCATAACACAGAGAGAAACAATCAGTTCTTCACAAATGGCTACAGTTTCTGAATAAGAATATCTATAGTAGCCATAACACAGGGAGAAACAATCAGTTCTTCACAAACGGCTACAGTTTCTGAATAAAAATATCTATAGTAGCCATAACACAGGAAGAAACAATCAGTTCTTCACAAACGGTTACAGTTTCTGAATAAAAATATCTATAGTAGCCATAACACAGGGAGAAACAATCAGTTCTTCACAAATGGCTACAGTTTCTGAATAAAAATATCTATAGTAGCCATAACACAGGGAGAAACAATCAGTTCTTCACAAACGGCTACAGTTTCTGAATAAAAATATCTATAGTAGACATAACACAGGAGAAACAATCAGTTCTTCACAAACACCTACAGTTTCTGAATAAAAATATCTATAGTAGCCATAACACAGGGAGAAACAATCAGTTCTTCACAAACGGCTACAGTTTCAGAACAAAAATATCTATAGTAGTCATATCACTTACTAACAACGTGTAATACCTGATAATTCTACATCCATCCACACAATTTAAAATACATTTACAACTATCTACAGAGTTTAAACCACAAATTAATGCATTCATTTTAACTATGATTTTTTTAAAGATACCTATACAATCAAATCATTTCAAACAAATAACTGGACCTCATTTTATTCAAGTTGAATTAAATCTATATACTACTAAAACTCTGAGATTTTTTGTTTGTTTGTTTGTAATTAAAAATGGCAAAAATGGTACACAATAGCACCATATTTCTAATGAAATGTGAATAGAAACAATTTTTGTTAAAATTGGGCCACAGGTCACTTTTATGAACATTTCTAGCAAGAGTAAATTTACATCACACTACCACTTTATGAAACTTCTTCATTCAAATCTATTTCCATGTCAATATTCCCATCTTCATTAAAAGGCATAAGAAGACAGATACAAGATCTTGAAGAATTTCTCAATAATGTGCCTTGGTTATGGTAGGTAATTCGAAGAAGAAATAAAGTGTTACTGTTTCTTATTTGTAGAAGAGGAAAGACCAAAACATAATGAACTAATTCATCACAACACCTAAAAACTGTGACTTCACTTTTTTCAAAAATGAAATGGTGTTTCCTTTTACTCTCGATCAACAATCAAATATCTTTTCTTGAATTATGAATAACATGAATGAGTTAAAATATTTAATTAAATTATCTCAAAATAAACCTTCATTTTGGTGCAATATTGAAATTTGCTTGAATTCTTCATAACCTCTGAATAGTGGGTGACCAAACGGGTCACAGATTGTCTAGTATGCATTAAAAGAAAAATTGCATTAACATGTTCAGACTTAATACATACAGTGTTCACATCCATCCACACAATTCAAACTACATTTACATCCACCCACAGAATTCAAATTAGATTTACATCCA